TGCTCCTGTCACTGGTAACTTTGACGAAAACTTTACCATTTGTTGGGTTTTTCCCCTTTCTACGCCATAGATGCTGTTACCTGAAACAACTGCATTTACTTGTACCACTTTTACTATGAAATCTGACATAGTCCCATCTAAACCTTACAGGCTACAGCTACACAGAATTTTGAAATGCTGTACAAAAGAATAATGACATTTATTTCTTGCTGTATCTTATTTGATTTTAATTCTTTAGTGGCTGTTATTAGTTTTGCTTATTTTTTATTTTCTTCAGATAAATTATTTTATTTCAGTTTATAGAAATGTTTCAGAACTAATCTTTTTCACGTTATTTTTCCTTTTAGAGTACAGTAATAACCCTGCTGCCCAACAAACAAGATGAATGTTGAGATGGCTTTCCATACTTACTGCTTGCATCATTTTGTGACATTCACACCTAAATATCTTTCTGCTATCACTGCAACGCCACTTTGATAGGAATTTTGTTATAAAATATGGTGCTGGGTGGGCTGATGTTGAACTATCGCATGACAAGTTGGGACTGTTTGCATGGAAACATCTGTTTGACGCTTGCTGCCTGAGTTAATATGCATCTTTAAAGATGGATTTATAGCCTCTTTTTAAAAATCAAAATGTTCTCTTAATGAGTTATTTTGATCCAATGTCAATGCAACTCTATGATTCCAAGATCAGCAACATTATTATTATTATTATTATCATCCACTTGTTCTTGTAGTCACCAACCTTTCAAAAAATATGAAAGCTCTAAGTTCAGTATAGTTTTGTTTTAATCTATTTAGATGTTAATATATTGATATATTCTTATTCAGTTATTGTTCAACTGAATTGTACTGCTGCCCATTCCACTCTTACCAAGAGAAAGAGAGAGAGAGAGAAAAGAGAGAGCCACAAAAACAAAGAAATGAATAAAAAAGCACATAAGAAAGAGGGAAAAGCTGCACAGCTGTAACATGCTTTGTGGCAGAGAGGAGCTGGGAGCAGAAGGAAAAAGACGGCTGATACAGAGAGGGAAAGATACTGTACATCTGGGGACATCTGGTTTCAAGTTTCTTTGTGTATTTTAATTTATTTATGGTCAGTGTAATAAGAAAGCACGAAACCCTCAAAACATGGATGTGCCATGGTCACAGTTGTGTCACTTTTCAACACAAAGACAGAGTTTGACTTATCTGAGCTTATGAAGGCTGATACAGAGATGTTTTGCACTGAAGCAGCAGCAATATTTTTAGTGTGCATAATGAAAATGATTACATTTTCCAAATATACCCTTTTTTTAAATAATGTTCAAAAGTCTGTAACAAAGCCCATGAAAAGACCAAAACCAACAGTTAGTCCATCTTTTACACTTTATGTAGTTCTCAGCCCCAAGTTTATCGATTTCTATTGAAGACGTAGATCATTACAAAGCAGTCATTAATATCTCATTTCATTTTTAAAAAGGCACAGTAAATTCCTAAAAAAGATGGACACTGTAGTGTTAATCGGGTGCTCAAAGAGGAGGAAACCATGCATTTCTTAGGGTCTATTTTCAACTTCACTTTTGGCATTGTAGGACCATGTATGTCAGTCTGTTAATGAGACTGAATTTATCTCCAAATAATGGGGTTCAGACAAAACACAGGACATTAGCAGGAGAAACCAGAGGTCTTGTATCGAGTCCTGTGTGGTTAGCTTTAGGCTAGTAAAACATTTATCAGTATTCTACCAAGTCCAAGATCTTTCCTATATGTGGCCAAGTGCTGTAAACGGAACCACAGAACTATAAAGCCATTAACCCTATTCTAGTCACCACAACCAAATATTGTAGGAAAACAAACACACACACACCAAGACAGGTTTGATATATATATATATATAGGTTTAATATGAATATTTTGTGATTTAGCTAATACATTTATTTTTAAATGACTCTATTATGGAGATACCTTTCAAACCTTTCAAATGTATTTGCTGTTGCAAATATGCAGAACAGTATATAAACAATTTTTACTGGTAAACAGAAATCATGTTTGGAAGAGGAAATTGATCTGATTGTTTAACTCTTAGTAAAGAGTCACACATCCATTATTTTTATTTGGCACTGAAGCTGCAGCAGGGTCTGCTGGGAGCAGTAACTAAAAATGTGCCGATCACGTAAGCTGACTAACAACAGCCTGTGCTGCTGAGGCAGTCTCATCCACACTTGTTGCCATTTGTGTGGCCATTTTTCTGTTGCTGTTTTTAAGTAATTAGCTTTGTAGGAAGACAGTGTTTCAAACTGTGAACCTGTTGAAGAGCTCTGATTGGTTGATCACCTCTCAAAGGTCACTAGCAGCTGTAACAGTAAGCACAGCATGAGCTATTTGAATCACATAAAAAAATAAGAGATAGGTGCTGTAAGCCTGAGCCCAGGAGAGACAGTATTTAATACACACAATTATTATTAGTAGGATTTTTCCCATATTTATGTTCCTTATAATTTTATTCAGAATATTGTTCTTGTCTGGGTAATGAGAAACTCTCCAGTGACATATTGCTGCATATTGTATACATTTCAAACAACATGTCTCAGCAGACACCAGTGGATCACATTCCAGGCCATAGTCATTAACTACATGGGTCTAAAATACTGCACCTTGTATTTGTAGCAGTCATCATTTATCTGTGGCACTTACTGCGTTGAATCCCAGATGTATTAAAGCCCTTTTAAAAAGCACATTACTGTAAGCGAAATGGACAATGTAACTCACTGTCCCCTGGACCAACTGACGAAGACACAAGTAAAGCAGTGCTTGTGCCATTGTGGAGTTAAATGTTCTCACAGTGCAGATTTAAAAAGCATCCCTTGTTTGTCCATTGTCATGGCAGAGTCCACCATGTCAAGTTATCGTAGACAATCACTCTGCCTGCCTTAACTTTATGTCTGCCTGAAAACACACTACACACACACACACACCAGCTGAGGTGGCTGTTATTAGTCTGTACAGTATATTTATGTTGTGAAGTGAATATCTGCTGAAGATACATTTCAACACCAAAAAACTTCTCTGCTTTATGTTGAGGTCAAATCGCTACTGTTGTGGAACTGATACTCTTGATATTGCCTTTGTTTTTGCTCTCTCAGTTCACTTTTTCCTTCCTGTGAGTTGACAGTCTGTCCCGTCTTAAACCGCAGCATTTTTCTCCCGAAAAGAGAAAGTGACCAAAACATTTTTGTTTTTCTTTGAATATATTTTATTGTAATGGCATTAAACCAATAAAATTTAATGAAGTAAATCTCCTCTTGGTGTGCTGGATATTATTGCATAACAATTAACAGATACTGTAGGTACAAGTTTCAATACAGCAGTCATAGTGTGGCTGTTGTTTAGCCTTGTCGCCATCCACATCAGTATTATCAGCTATATATAACATTAAACATCAGTTATAGAAACAAAACAAATCAAACTGAGACTGTAGCCGGTGTTTGGAGAACAGTAGCCAACATCAGGACTTGTAATTATGTTTTTTAGAGATATACATCAGCAGCTACAACAGGATTCCTGGCAGGTCAGGTTATCTACAGGCCCTGCAGAGGCTCGCAGACCTCTGGTGTAATTCACAGACATTCTGTTGTTGTTGGAACAGTTAGAGCCTTCAGCTTACTGTGCTTCCAGCTGAGAGGGGAGAGTTAAAATGGCAGCTGCAGAGTAAGGGAGAACTAAGATTACCAGCCTGGCAGTGTCTAATGCCAACAGTAGTTTGAGCCTAGATACTGCAGATACAGAAGGTTTGAGAGTGAGGCCAACATGTGCCTCCTGTTTCTCAAATCTTCAGAATATCTCTGGGATGTTAAGGATACAGTTTAATCTAATGCATTGTGTAATCATCTATTTACAACAGCAAGACTGTAAACACAGCATTATTAAATGTGGTGACCCATGCTGAGAGTGTACGGTAACTATAAGAAAACATGTCAAGGATGACAGGCCTTAGTTCTTTCTTTTATGTTTGAATTAAATATTGAAATTGCAGAGCTATTTACACTTAAGATGAGGACAGAAGAACAAGAATGAATCCCAGTATTAAAATTTGTCACATGTACATACTGATGTGGTAATTTTTAATGGCTGTAATTTTATGGAAATTAAATCCAAGGCTACTCACTACAAAACTGTGGGTGAGATGTAGCTGCTTTGTGGGTGCAGGCAAGCTTGTAATAGTGTGAGTACAAAGGGTTATAGCTGCTTAAAAACACAAATCATGCAGATACAATAGTTTTGCTTTAAACTTTTCAGATAATTGTGGCTGAGATTTGTGCCTCCACCTCAGGACAAACAAAGGTGAGCGGAATTGTTTTTGCACTGAAAACAACAGTGACACATTTTTTTCAGATTCAATGCCCTGATTCCGCAGGACATTCATGGAAATCTTTCTACTTTTTTTTGTACAATCAAATCTGTTCACAGTGAGGTCTGCCAACTAAACGGGACACCGTTTCTGAAACGTGTTCATTTTTTCAAACACCATCTTCTGATGACAAAAGCACAAAAAGTATTCCATTGTGCTCTAAACGGACTCTTTAAGGTTGTTGTTGCACAATAAACTGTCTTGTCTTTAGCTTTAGCTTCCAAAACAATGAGCTAACATCAGTTCACTTGCTCACACTATCAGGCAATTACAGTTTCTTTTACACAAAACAGATATTATTGTGTGGACATGGTGAAAACTATTCACTAGTCTATTTGTTCCAAAGCTGAGGACCTCCAAGATGGTTGCCAGAGTCAGTTACATCACCTAAAACCTGCCCATTTGTGATTTTGTTGGTGATAAATAACACAAAAATTGTTTTGTGTTAAACAGCTGAGTAATTGAGGAGTATTTGATCAGAGAACAGTACAGCGAAGAAAGGTGGAGCTCATGTCTTCATCTTTCCTTCATGCTTTAATTTTTCCGCACTCTCCTTCGCGGTGTTGGCAGCGCACTTCTTCAGGTGGGATCTGTGCATGTGTGTGTGTCCGGTCAAGTATCAGGATCCACTCCATTTGCTGTTCAACAACCTGCAGTGAAATAAAGTGAAAGGCATTAGCTACAACTCCCAGCTCAATCTGATGTTTAATGTTTTTGCATTACAGGAGTAGCTAGTGTGTTTGTGTACAAAAGAGAAAGCAAGAAAGGTGGGAAATGAAAGGCAGAGTGAGAGAGAGCAGGTGTTGGAGTGGTTAATGGCTGATGGCGTGAATAGCCAGCGTTGTACATTCCTGATTAAGGGAAGGAACTTCTTCTTTGTCTCGGAAGTCAACAATGAACACCAAGCGGCACTCAAAACACTATCCAACAGGCGTTCCTCACAGACGGCGAAGTATTTAATGAATCTATTACAAACTTCCTTCTCCCTATTGCCAGGCATGTTTTTTTTTTTTTTAACCATTGACAGTGACTTAACCCTCTGGAAATATGGGGACCATCTGTTGTGTTTGCCTGCACATTCAAACCAACAAAAGACAAGTGGGGCAGTTTTCACACAGGCCTAATGCTGCACACTGTGCAAGTAAATGGAGACAATTTGGTCAGGTTTTAGGAGGCTTATATTGTTTAGACTGAAGTGACTGACAGGCGATGTTTTCTACAAATACTTTATTTACCCTTTGTTACAGAAAAACATTAAATGTATTCTGTGTTTTCTCCTGTTTCCCTTGAAAAATGAAAAGCATAAAAGCACAAGAGAAAGTCATGTCATTCAGTCATTTCAGTGACTATAAATAAAAATCCTTATTTATCCTCTTATCATATGCCTCCAATTCTCTTTCAAAATACTTCATGTGTGTGCAGAGTTAGAAAGTGGAAAAATAGCGATTGCTAACAATGACCAGTAAGTCAAAAATGTATAGGTGATGACGTTGACTGAGCCCATTGCAGAACGTGAATCAATTTAATGATAGGCTTATTTGCTATCAAAGCTGTATCACATATCAGCATTGAGAGGTCAGTGCGGCCTGCTCAGTCTGTCACACCTCCTCACTTCAGGGCCAGTTACAGGGGAGATCGTTCCTGAGTGGCCTCTGTGGTCCATTTAGTTTTTAAGGAGGATTTGTCAAAATAGACAGACCCATAGTCAAGCTCTTCACCCCTCTTGATCGTGTATAAACAAACTATTGAGATCACTTTTAGGACTGCCTCCTAGGCAGGTGTCATAGTCTGTCAATGTATGTTCCATTTAGCTTTTGAAGTTATGAAGTCACAAAATCCTTGGATTTTTAATTGTTTTATTTTTATTTTTAGGCACTAGACTGTAATAATACAAAAAATAAAAAGGGAAGCAGCAAAGGTCTCCAGCTGGAAAATGAGACACTGTGGTTCATGGCCTGTGTCCTAAAAGTCACAGGGACACCCCCCTTATACTGCTAATTTTGCATTGTTTGTTGCTTGTTAATACGGTTTATTTTGTTATATTACACAGCCTTATGCTGGTTTACTGTTTACTTGCCCCTTGCATGGGGATATGTACATACACATTGGGAGCCGATGTACCAGAGTCAAATTCCTCGTGTGTCTGACACACCTGGCCAGTAAAGCTGATTCTGATCTGATTTAGTCCACACCTGGATTTGATTGACAGCTTTCAACACAAGCAAACTGAACTGAACAAATGCAGCAACATTTGTTTGAAGTCTTTTCTCATAGTTTTCCAGCATCCACTAGCATCAGGTCAGGAGCTCAGCCTTGGCTCCAGGCTCCAGGTTTTGAGGGTTTGGCCAGGCCCAGTTACCAGACAACATGGGCAACAAGGCTACTTCCTATTATGTCATCTACATGTCAACTACATTAAATACCTCCTGTATTTGAAATTAAGGCCTTGCTCTTCATTTTTCCAGCATATCAACAGTGAAAGAGGTATGTGCAGGAGCACTTCTGTTGATACTGTTTCCTTTACATGTCAATCACCACAGCAGACCAGAACAAACACTGAACTACAATACAATCACACCTCATCACTGTTACCTTTTTGCATTATGAGACACATTTCATACATTTTGCTTTAGCTGCTGAAAGTATAATAACTGCATTCCCTGCTGTTAACAATGCCATCTGCAGTCAATTTATGGTTTATGGCTCTCATTATGTTTGGTATAATAAGGTTTTTAGTTCTTTGTATTTTTTTCCATATGTTTCTAGCATTCCCTGAATATTTTTATTCAAGACTAGTATCAAGTGGCATTAGCATTGTACCTGATGGTCTGAACCCAGTCAACTGGACCACCTGTTAAAATTAAAAGAAACATACACAACATTTACTCAGTATTCTATATGACAACACACTGTGCACTGACAATACATGTATGTTACTTACTTGGTTTCCTTGTACTGGTTTTATAGAGAAACTCACAAAGCTCTCCTTTCTGAAACTCTCTGAAAGACAGATACACACCTATTTGTATTTACAGTTGCATTCTTCTTTCAGGATCAACATATTTGTTTATGCAAGGCCAAAACATGAGACAAAGCTATACAAGCAACACAAATCACAACACAAAGAAAGCTTTATAAAACACACAGAGAGAAACAAAAATGCAAACAATGTGATTGACAAAGGAATTCTCAATATAAAATCTTTGGGTTCTTTCTGGATGCACATTGCCTTTGTTTGCCCTGCTGTTTATGAACAATCAGTGTCATTTCATCACCAGCCTTGTGTCTGCAGGACAGATTGCTGCTTATGGGATAAAGCAACATAAGAAATGAAGGGAAATGGCATTGACAGATATCTACCCACACTACTCATCATTCACTTAGTTCAGTCACAAAGAGCAGTGAAGGTGCAGGTGCTGGTTTACAGCATTAGTGAAGGCCATCATTTATCCTCATTGACTTATAATATGAAGAAGATCCTAATTTTTTTAGTGAGGTTTAAATTTATTATTAACATCAAAGCAATTAGAACAAAAATGTGGGGGAAAAACACAAAAGAAATGAATGGATGTAGCTTTAACAATGCTCACTGCTTTATGAGTTATCAAGATCTGATTTAAGCACTGAGAACTACAACTACCATAAGTCATTGTTTCTGGTCACATGGTGATGCTGAACTGAGGGAATGTGAGCAGAGAGGTCATGAACATAGCCTGATAACTCACCCTGTTTGCACTCAGATTTATAAAAACTGTCTCTTGTATGGGGAAAGCAAATGAAAGTTAAAAGTTCAATGATTACTACGGGGTGCGAAAATAAGTTACGACATTGGTCCCAAAAAAAACACAGAAGAACAATTTATTCACACTTTCAATTCCTCTCAGTTAGATTAGAGCAAGTCATTACTTGGCAGAACAATGTAATACTTGCCCATCTACAGCTGACATGGAAGTCTTCTTACATACAGCTAGTCTTGGCTAAGTAATAGTGGCTATTTCAGATCTTAAAAAAACAAACCAAAACCCTCTTTATTCTGATTCCGAACAAAATGATTTCAAAAGCTTTTAAAAACCCATCTGTATAGACTGGCATTTGTATAACTTTTTATATCTATTCAAACTGATTCATTTTCTTCTTTAATCACTAATAGTTAACCAAAATATATTATTAAAAATTATGTTAGCCTAGTAAATTAATCAAATCATTCCCTCAACTCTCACAATTGTGCCATCAAGTACAATGACTTTAGAATCATTTGTAAGATCTCATTTGAATAAGCTGTTGCAAAACACTTATGTGACCATTTGAACAAGAATGATTTGTTTGAGGATTTTCAGTCAGGATTTGGAGTACATCATAGGACAGAAACTGCATTGGTGAAAGTCACCAACAATCTCCTCCTAGCCTCAGATAAAGGACTTGTCTCCATACTTGTCCTCCTAGATCTCAGTGCTGCTTTTGACACCATTTGACACCACAGCATTTTACAAAGACTTGAAAATGTAACTGCACTAAGTTGGTTGAAATCTTACTTATCAGAAAGATTTCAATTTGTTCATGTTAATGATGAATCTTCCACACAAATTGAAGTTAGTCACGGCTTTCCACAGGGCTCTGTGTTAGGTCCAATTCTTTTCATTTTATACATGATCCCTTTAGGCAATATTATCAGGAAGCACAACATAAATTTCCATTGCTATGCAGATGATATTCAGTTATATTTTTCTATGATCCCAGATGAATCAGATGATTTGGTCAAACTTCAAGCATATCTTAAAAACATAAAAACTGGTCCATACATTTGTTACTTCCAGGCTGGACTACTGTAACTCTTTACTATCATGATGTCCCAATAATTCCATAAAAAGCCTCCAGTTAATCCAAAATGCTGCAGCCAGAATACTGACAGGAACTAGCAAGAGAGATCATATCTCTCCCATATTAGCTTCTCTCCACTGGCTCCCTGCAAAATCCAGAATTTAAAATCCTTCTACTAACATACAAAGCTCTTAATGACAAGGCTTTATCATATCTTAAAGACCTCATAGAGCCTTATCATCCTAACAGAGCACTTTGCTTTCAAAGTGCAGTGTCTACTTGTCGTTCCTAGATTCCACAGAAGTAGAATGGGAGGCAGAGCCTTTAGCTATCAAGCTCCTCTCCTGTGGAACCAACTCCCAGTCTCAGTTCGAGAGGCGGACACGCACACCTGTAAGATTAGACTTAAGACTTGATGCCATAGGCCTAGGCTATGGGGGGCCCCCATGATGCTCTGAGCCCCCCTCCCACCATGCATCTATATGCCACTAGTACATGCCATTAGCTGCATGCCTCCTCTCTCCTGTAGTGTGTCCTCTCTCTCTCTCCCGGTACCTTCCTGTAGGGAGCCCTGGCTCTGAAGCTCTACGTTTCTGATGAACAGGCACCGGCCACATCAAGCTGACCAGTGTTTGATTGTTGTTTATTATCTTGTTGCCTTTCATTTTTTCTTTTCTCTCTCCTCTATCCACTCACCCCAACTGGTCAAAGCAGAAGGCCGCCCACCAAGACCTAGGGTTTGTCGGAGGTTTCTTCCGTTAAAGGGAGTTTTTTCTCCCTGCTGTTGCCAAGTTCTTGGTCAAGGGGGATTTTGTTGGGTTTTCCTCTATAGTAATAAGAGTAAGGTATAGACCTTACTTTGATGATATACAAATAAATTAGAAATGAATTAAATTACAGGTCACTAATTACATGATAATTACCCAAAAATTATTCTATTTCAATAAAATTTCAAGCAGTAAATTCTAATTACATAATACCCAAAAATGTTAAATTATTTATATGAAATTAGTGAAAATTAAAAATGACACATTGATACTTTGTGTATAAGAGATATATATATATATACATGCACTCATACACACATATATACTGTATATATAAAAAAATTCCCCACTCGCCCCCCACTTTAGAGCAGTCTTATTCCTTCCTTCAAGCTCGGGTCCTCTACCAGAGGTCTGGGAGCTTGAAGGTCCTGTGCAGTATCTTAGTTGTTCCTAGCACTGCACTCGTCTGGACAGAGATCTCAGATGTTATTCCTGGGATCTGTTGGAGCCAGTCTCCCAGTTTGGGGGTCACAGCCCCCAATGTTCCTATTACCACGGGGACCACTTGTACCTTCATCTTCCACATCTTTTCTAGCTCTTCTTTCAGCCCTTGGTATTTCTCAAGCTTCTCGTGTTCCTTCTTCCTGATGTTGCAATATCGCTTGGGATTGCTACTATGTCCAGTTGGTTGGCCATTACCAGTTTGTATCTGGAAGTCCCACCGGGTCTTATCTTGGTCATTCTCAACCACCTTTGGAGGTGTATCCCATTTTGACTTTGGGACTTCCAGCCTGTACTCGGCACAGATGTTTCTGTACAC